TATATATATTACCAAACGCTTTTTCTATCGATGTAAAATATATTAATTTATTATCACAGACTTAGTAAATTTTTTATGTAGAGTTCGTTGTTTCAACTCGACTAGTTTTTAAGTAAGTATAAATTTTAAAAGGGCAATAAACTAAGCTTCTGTTTTTTTTTTACTCGTAGCAGAACAAAAAAAGGCATAACTTTTTATATTATTCATTGATTAAAAGTTATTATTAAAATAATTTTAAAAAAATAATTAAATCATCACGTGCAATAGTTTTTTAATGACTAGATAATAATTATTGATATTTATATTGTTTATTCAATTTAATATAATAAAATATTACTTTCTTCTGTCTTTATTATAAGATACATTTTAGAATCAAATAGTGATTTTTATAAGATATTTTATAATTTTTTTATAAAATATTAATTTTATTTTTAATTCTTTGTCTCATCATTAAAGATTGTGATACTCTGTATCTTTTATTGTCGGATAATAATTTGATAAGCAAATATTTTCTTTTATTTTTTTTTAATTATTTAATTATTATTTATCAATTTTATTTGTATTAATATATAAACATCAATGTGAAGTAATATCTCTATCTCTCCTATGAAAATTTAATGATAAAAAAGAAAGATAAAATTGATATATTATAATTTTATTTTATAAATTATTAAAATTAACTAATATAATTATTCATATTTGTCTATGTAATTTGGTTAAAAATGTATTATTATAAGAACAAGAAAGAATAAATTCTAATAATGTTTGTATATAAAATAAAAGAAATAAATATATTTTTAATTCATGCAAAATAAACATGTTTTATTTTTTGTTCATGTAAAATTTTTTTATTACTTTTTTTATCTCTCTAAAATTCATAATTATTGTTTTAGTCTTTATTATTATATGACTATTTTTAATTATTTATATGTTCATTAAAAAATTATGTGACCGTGACACTGTTGATTGTGTGAGATATTTTATCCTTATGTGACGCTTCTAAATTATTTTATATGCCCTTAAAATAATTATTATATATGTACATAAAATAATCATTAGGAAAAAAAAGTAATGACTTTAAATTTTAGAAAAATACAATTAAAAAAATACTTTATAAAAATTATGTAACGATCCGCCAGGTCTCACACTGTCTATAGCATCTAGATACAAGTATAAAATAAAATATCACTACTAAACAATTATATATATAAGAATACACAACTAAAAAGTCTCATAATATATATAACTGAAAGTAGAGAATAATATCCTATGTAACGACCCGACTAGTCACTACACACGGCACAACACACTAGAAACACCACACAGAAAGGAACAAGTGTATACATATAGGGTCTAGAATATATACATATACATGATCCAAGTCTGGATAGAGTTAAAGTGTACAAAATACATCAAAGGCTACACTACTGGGTAGCTAAACAACAAAAGATCTAAAGGATCAACTCCGCCTGCCCGCTACAGACTCACCATCAGCCACCAACCTATCCCTGATCTGCTCCCATACATAGTATGATCATCACAGTCCAAACATCATGGAAACAACAAAGGGTAAGCTAGTGTAAAGAAATCAACATACATATATAACAATATGATAGAAAACAGCTACAGCTATCAGCATATCCGCACAGCTTATATTACACCATAGCAATTCAGCAACATCAGCACCGCTTAGCAGCAATAACAGCACCGACTTAGTGGCTATAACAGCACCACGATAGTGGCTAATAACATCACCTACATAGCGGCTAGAACAACACCACCATAGTGGCCAAACACAGCATACAACTCAACATTTCTCGGCACAGCATAGTAAATCAGCATACAACACGGCTAGTAGTATTCAACACAGCCTACTACTCACAACTCAGCTCATCATTCTAGAGCACAGTAATATTCATCAATTATAATACAACATTTAAAATCATCAATAACAACCCAGCTCAGCACAGCATTATACATCTATTTCATCTTAGTTCAGCATAAAACAACCTTCCTCAGTAATTTCAGCAAAGTTTAACAGCTAATAGCACATCAATTCAACATTCCCATGCGCGCCCGGCGCACCCATGGTTGCGCCCGGCGTGGTGCGCCGGGCGCGGCACATCCAGAGGGCACCAGGGGCCAACGCGCCTAGCGCAAGACTGCTTGCGCCCGGCATGACCCCTCACGTGCCTGGCGCAATTTAGAATTGCGCCCAACGCTTGCCAGGCAGAGACTCTATGGAGTCTCACGCGCTCAGCGTGCCTAGGCCCGCGCCCAGTGCGGGGAAGGCAGAGACCTCCCCTTGGTCTCGCGCCCAGCGCAATTTGAATTGTGCTCAACGCCCTATTGGCAGAGACTCCCAAGGAGTCTCGCGCCCAGTGCGACTAGTGTCGCGCTCAGCGCAGAACCACCACCCAAAAACAAGTCACATACTGCCTGTGCGCTCGGCGCGATCCCTAACTCACCCGGCGTGGGCCAACCAGAGGCTCACCTTCTCAAGCTCGCCCGACGCACACATCTTTGCGCCTGGCGGGCTTGTAAAAAAGGAGCCCCCAGGTGGTCACGCGCCCGACACGAAGAACCGCGCTCAGCGCGAGGCTCAGCAGCAACCTATCAAGTTCAAAATTTTGCCCCAAAACCTGTAAAAACTTATAGAAAATCCACATGCAAACGGTTCAAAGTACCACATTTTCATCAAACAACCCGAAAATACCAGCTTTTACAACATGCATCCATCCATCATCAAAAACCCCAAATTTTTTCATCATAACCCCGAAACCCCGAAAACCCATTTTTCCTCAAAAACAGCCAACAATCATCAAATCATCAAACCATCAATGAGTTCTAAACTCAATTTCGTACAACCTGCATGAATCCTAGCCTCCCTTACCTTGGTGCGAAAAAATCCGAGCTCCGAGAAACTTGAACGGAGAAGAATAGTGAAAAAGAGCTTGAACGGAGCGGAAGAACAAGCTTGAGGGAAAGAAGAAGTGAAGGAGGGGAAGTCTCCGCAAGATCACCAGCTACTCAGCACCTAGCTCACCCAAGAAGGAAGAAACAAGCAACAATGAGACTGAGGAAAAATAGAGTAGTGAGGAAGAAGAAAGAAATGGGGTCTCACAACCTCCCCAACAACAAGAGTTTTCGTCCCCGAAAACAGACTTACTCAGGAAAAGAAACCGATACCGTTCCTTGCACTACTGCTCCACCTCCCAAGTAGCCTCACCAGTAGCTGCATCCCACAAAACCTTTACCAGAGTAATGGACTTGCCCCTCAACTCCTTCAGCTTATGATCAACCACAGCTATTGGCAACTTCTCAAAGGTCAGGTTCTGCTTTACTTGTACATCATCCAGCTCCATCACATGACTCGGGTCATGCACATACTTCCTCAGCTGGGATACATGAAATACATGGTGTAGGTTTGAAAGAGACGGTGGCAAATCCAACCGATAAGCAACCGAACCCACACGCTGTATGATCTGATAGGGACCCACAAACCTCAATGTCAACTTCCGAGCCTTCAGCGCTCTACCCACACCAGAAGTCGGGGTCACCTTCAGAAACACATGCTCTCCCTCGGCAAACTTCAAAGGCTTACGCCTTTTATCAGCATATGATTTCTGCCTACTTTGAGCAGTCCTCATCTTCTCCTGAATTATCTTCACCTTTTCAGTAGTCTGTAGGATCAGCTCCGGCCCCAAACCATTGTCTCACCATCCTGATACCAGCACAGAGGAATCCTACATCTCTTGCCATACAAGGCTTCAAACGGCGTCATCCCAATACTAGCATGAAAGCTATTA